CCAAGTGATCAGGTAGTAAAGTTGGACCTTGATAACACATTTATAAGAAATGAGGAATTTATGTACAAATATAGATTAATATATATGCTATAAATTAATGCTAGTTAATAACTATATAGTGCTTACTATGTGCTGGGCAGATGTTCAACATGCATGAAGGTACTTTATTCTAACAATCACCTGGTAGTTACAAAGGAGTTCTATTATACATTTTCATCCTACAGATGGGGAAACTGACATGAAGGATTTAGAAAACTTGTTTGATATTGCACAACCGGTAATGGGAAAGGGTCTGAACAAGTAATTCAGAGAAGATGACATTTCAATAGACTATCAGTAGAGTAATTCACATTAAGACTATTAAATACTATTTCATTGAAATCAGATTGGCAAAAATAAAAAAAAATATGACAATATCATGACTGAGAAGTGGTGGACAAGAAAATTAATGCAATTCCTTTGGAAGTAACTTGGGAATATATAGAAAAATTGAGAATATAGACCCCACAATGCCTTACATGTAGGTATGTCCCCTAGAGAAACTCTTGTGTACACAGGAGACATGAGCAAAGCTACATAAATGTCCATCACTGGGGAGTCGGTAGAAATTGAGGGTTAGACATACAATGGAATGCTGTACAGAAATAAATGAGATAAGTGAATTCATTCTGTTGCTAAGAGACCAGGCTGAGCCGCCCACCACTCACAAGACAAATACAAGAGACAAGAGCTGGGCTAGGAAAGCTAGGCTCATTCAGAAAACCAGTATTCTGAGGAAATAGTGGATTTGCACATCCTCCCCTCTTGGGGTTTAGGGTAGGCTTTATGCAGTTGTTGTTTTATTGATAAAGAAACCTTGGTTTTAAATGTTGCTTGTGTTTTAGAGGTGTAGGATCTCCAGCACCTGCCCACCCCTCTCCCCATCTGCTGGTGGTAGTACTATACCACACCCACCAGCATAACACCCGTAGGGTTTTTATAAGGGTATCTTGAGTCAGCCTGATATCAGCCTGACTGTTCAGGTTACTACTGTTATCTTTAGTCTTTTGGATGTGTTTCCCACATTTTTGTAGCTCAGTTATTGCACTGTTACTAGGGGTTCTGGCTCATATCTCTGTTATTCAGCTGTCAATAGCAATGCAGTTGCTTAAGACTTCCTAGTATTGTAGGGCAACCCCAATGTAAAATGATTGGTTGGCTCGACTGTGGGTCTTCATCTGTGTGCTTAAATGGGCTTATGAGATGCACTGCCAGCACACACAAAGGGTTAGTAAAGGGTTTATTTGCAAAAGTGGGAGACAAAGGAATGACTCAGGGAGAAAGAGCTGAATTGGTGAATGTGTCCTAATAGTTCCTCTGATCTGGGACCCCAACAGCACACTGAAAGCTGGTAAAAAAAAAACCAAGTTTCCCCTGAGGCCCACATGTCTGGCTATTTTCCAAACCTGGTTGCTTAACTCCACTCTGGTTCCCAGCTATCCTCCCTTTGGTGGTGGTGATCTTACGGGGTTTGTCGTCCTTGGTGTCTTGGATCTCTTTGTTCTGGGATGGGGTGGAGTGTTTGTAGAGTTTGTTCAGGACATCCTTTCCCCACCAACACCAGGGGAATTAAAATGTTAGTGGTTTAAGGGATACCAATAAGTATTCTAAAAGTAATGACGATGGTTAATTGAAGCAGAGGGCTTCCTCCCCAGGTTGTATTTTGGTTTTGTGCTTTCAGTTCTATATGTGTCTTTATAAGTCAACTTTAAAAGCCCAATTTGCATGAAAATGCTTAGTGTTTTCAATTGTACATAGTGGGAAGGATAAAGAAAAGTGTCTCTGCATTGAGCATTATATATAAAATAGAAGACTCTGAAAAGCAGAGGGGAGAAAGCAGAATAAATGGGACACTCAGAACCTAGAGAATGACATGGGAGTGTGCTTTTGGGTTTTCTTTTTGCCTCAGCTCTCCCAGAGTGGAACAACCCAGAAACACCAATGAATATAGATCAAAGCACTAACAAAGCCCTGCCTTTTATATCTCAAAGAATAAAAAAAAAAAAGTCAGCTTTGTAAGACAGAAAACATTTAGAAATTCTAGTACAACATCACAGAAAATACTATTGCCCCAGCCTAACCCCAGCAAGCAAGGCTAAATAGGAAGCCCAGGCTTTTACCCTTATAGGATTTGACAAGGTGTCCAACCAAACTGATGTGGTAATGTCAGAAAAGACAGAATAGGGAGCCAGGAATTTCACCTCCACTGGGTGGGAACAGACCCACTCTATGGTGTCAGCAGGGGCATTCCTGTGGTGCGAATTCCCAGCCCACTCACCTCCCATTCCCTATGGGCTGGTGTCAGAGAAAGTCTAGTGGAGCATGAAAGCCTCTCTGTGCTGTCAGTGAGGACCACAAGGGAGTAGTAACAAAGCACTGCCAATCACCCAACCAGGAAAGCATCAATGAAGAACTAGACGGGGAATCAGAACTGTGACAGTTACCCTGCAGATATGAGGTGTCACCCCATGGGGGATGTCAGTGGAGGCCAAGTAGTGAGCCTCCAGCTGGTAGTAACCTCCACCTCCAGCTGGTAGTAACAGGTGCTCCCTCACTTTCCTACTATAGAGCAATGTAAAAAATACCTGCTAAAATTAAAAATTTAAAAAGAATCAAAAATTGTTCAACATTGAACAATTTCTTAAAAATACAACTGTAAAATGAGTAAAAGACATGAAAGAGTCCTTTCAATAAAGAGGATGTGCTAATGCCAACTCAGCACAGGCCAGTGTTCAATGTTTTTAGCCAAGAAGGAAGACAGGAATCATGTATGAGAGTTGGCATTTGTAGGAAGTAGATAGAGTAGAAACTGTTTTCAGGGAATTTACATGGACTAGGACAAAGCGCTTAGACATGGAGACCAGAGGTTTGGTTTCAAAAACAATTCAATGTCCATCCATCCCAAATTATTTCTAAGTATTTAGACAAGAAAAACAAACAAACAAACAAAACTATTGACTAGTCCCAGGAAAAAACAAAACCAAACAGAACCATGAGACTATTGAGGGCCAGGCCCCAAAGCATGTCCAGACATGCAAGTATGTTGGGGCTGTGAAACCCACAGCCCAGAAGAAATGAAACCACCCAGCAAGCCACTCCCAGGGTTGAAATTTCACCAATTACCGCTTGACAAACTCTTCACCAATCAGAACTGCACTGACTGAAACCTTCATGTACATACAGGGGCTCAAGCCCCACCCCCTGGCCTATACAAGCATGTTCCTCCTGCTGCTCCTTGGGCATGATCGCAACTGCCTGGTGAGTTTATATCGCATAGACTACAGTTTTGCAGCTCCCAGTGAATAAATAAGCGTTTGCTGTAAATCTAGCACTGTAACATTTCTGCTGTAATACTGGAACTATAAAGCAAGAGCTGTACATGGTTACCCCTACTGTAAGGCACTGTAAGGGGACTGCTACCGGGGAGAACTTGCTCCTTGTATATGATGTCCCTTCAAGTCCTTCAGGAGAAGGCAAATGTTTGTCTAACATACAGGTTTGTCAGTGAGACAGCTCAATAACCCTTGGAATGAACAAATAAAAGGCCAAGGAAACCCATCTTGAAACTACTATGGTAGGACCCTCCCTGCTGCCGCAACGGGCCAAAGCACAGCACTATAAGCTGGCCACAGCCGCCTCAGTGCGAGTTTGATCTCCAAAGTGGAGGTGACCACATGGCGCAGCAGACCTCTCCTGACCCGCCCGCTGCTCCCCTCAGCAGTGTACGATCTGCCTGTTCTGCTCCCCACTCTGTCTCTGGTGAATCCTCTCACCGCTCCTGTACCTCTGGTCTGTACCCCAGTTCTGTATGCACAAATAAATAAATCTTTAAAAAAAAAACTATAATGGTAATCATGTTAAAATGAAATTCTAAAATGGTGAGCCCCACCAATATTATATTTTAACTCATTAAAGAGGACCAATGAGAAACACAATAAAAAATGGTTCCCTGAAAACTTTTTATAGTTTTATATGTCAAGTGTACAGTGCATATGTAACATCTCTATTTCACTCATTTGCTAGATGGATGTAGTCAACAAGTAGGTTAGATCAAAGCAAAACTAGTTTACATTTTCCAGGACAATAAAATCCCCAAGAACTTTGGGATTGCTTCCTCTGCCAGGCTCTAATATCCTGAAGCCTTATCTACTTCCATGGGTTAAGAAGTTGCACTTTTCCTTTCGAATTAATGTTTTTGGGTAGATTCCTAGAAGTGGGCTTGCTGGGACATAGGGAAATTTTATGGGGACCATGCCTGAGAGCAGAAGTCAAATATTGTACAAAAATGAACCACGATGTGAAATATATATAAGTATTTTAAAAATAAATTTTAATAAAAAAATAAAGTCATTTAAAAAAGTTTTTAAACCAACTTTTTAAGTGGTTCTGAACCGCTTCTCAGCCTTTTGGCTAAGATCAAGTGCTAAGTAAGTTGTTCTGGCCTTCATGGGTTCTGCTATACCTGAGACCATCAGCAGAGGGGGTGGGGTGGGGCTCTATCAAGAATAGAGGGTCCTGCCTTTACTGGGTAAGCTAATTAGAAAATATTAGAAAATACAATTTTCCCTTTTCCTCTTTCGCATTTTGCTAAGTTTTGGATTCTTTTTTTTTTTTCTTTTCGTTCCCCAATACCCGAGGGCGAGACCTGGTGACATTCGGCTTTGGCATGGACGCGCGTCTCTGCAATCTTCTGGACTGTGATTCGTTTTCCATGGGGAGAAGCGACACGCGAGGGCCAGGCGGGAGACTGGGCGGCGCGTCCGCCGGGGAGACCGGGTCATGGGGTCCATTGGCCGCGCCTCTCTGCGCCTCCCCGCGTCTCCCCGCAGCCCGGGAGGCGCGCGCAGGGGCGGGG